TTCTCTCGCCTTCTTTTTTTTTTTTTTTTTTTTCTTCCTAAGCTTCGCTCTATATAGAGGGGCTGATCATGGTCATGAGTAATGATTCTGTTATCCTGTGACGCATCCATTGTATATTATACCTTTTTATATCCTGCAGCCATGCACAATCTGAAAAAGCCAAGCCTGGCACAACATGATAGGAGAATAAACTCCACAGTCTTCGTTCTTTCATATTCTCTCATATCACCTTATAATATGACGAAACGTTAGATCAGGTGGGACAGGTCGTATTGCATCCCCATCGAGGTGGCCATGAGGCCCTACTTATGCCTAGGAATCAGAGGAATCGAGAACAAGGGCGCTAGGCCTAAAACGCGGTGTGGTCAACATCCCGGCCATATTAAATTAGGGCAGCGTTTATGTCACGTGCATAAATGTACAATATATTATCCATCCGCTATCATAGGCTTCCATGTTTCCGTGGCTACCCATCTCCCATTGAAAAGCCATGGACCAATTCCCAAAGCTTCGACCGGTCAGTGAGCGCTCACATGAGGGCCACAGCATTGCCCCATAACTGACGCCCAGCAGGTCGGTCGCATAGAGCTATGCTCCACCGCACGCCACCACCTAAGGTTCTATTACAATGTAGCCGTAGCAGCAACTTACACACTTCCGGGATCATTTGCCCTCCCAATCAAAGACTATATCTACAAAGCATGTGAAATACTCATTGCGCAGCACCCAATCCTCTCAGCCGTCCCAATCGGTGAGGAGACAAAGGAGCCTTACTTCGCACGTCTTCCGAGCATCGATCTCCGCCAATCGGTCTTTTTCCAGAAGCGTGAGCAGGGTTTCCCCGATGCAGAAGACCAGGACGAAGAGCTAGACGTGTTGCTGAGCACCCAGCATAATACCTCTTTTGAGCTCCCGTTGCCATTCTGGAGAATTTTCGTGTTGACCGATGATGCCGATGATGCCGAAAGACGGTTCACCGTCGTCTTTGTCTTCCATCATGCTATTTCTGACGGCTCGTCGGGAAAGGTCTTCCACAAATCCTTCCTGCAGGCGTTGCGATCCTTGTCATTGTTGACTGTCGACGACGTTAAGGAAGTTATTCCATCGCCTGATTCACCGCTTCTGCCTCCCGGGGAAGCCGTTCATCCTAAGCTAGTGTCGTACACTTACCTGGCTGTTCAACTCTTCAAAGCTAAGATCTACGACCCCCGAGATCCGGGTTTATGGACTGGCTCGGAGATCAAGCTCCCCTTGGAGACGAAGCTAAAGCACATTGTGTTCCCAAAGCACCTATCATCCACACTCAGAGACCGCTGCCGCGAAAACAAGACAACCATAACGGCCGCTCTCCAAACAATCGTCGCTCGCTCCCTCTTCGCCCATCTCCCCGAATCCTTCACGAAGGTCAGATGCTCCTGCGCTATATCCAACCGTCGCTGGCTTCCCGAGCCCATCACAGAAGATTCGATGGGCGTCTTTGTTCAAGAAAATACCGAAGACTACTCTCGGAAAGATCTCAGTGAGACCTCGTTCCCCTGGTCCGTGACCGTGCGGTCTCGCGTGACAATCGAAAGAGAACTCAGCAAAGAAGGCAAGGACACCTCTGCCAATCTTCTTAGGTACGTAAACGATTACCAAAATGAGCTCTACCTGTCAAAGCTCGGGCAGCCGAGGTCATCCACCTATGAGGTGTCAAATGTCGGGGCTTTTCCTTCTGGTACACCAGCAGAAGGGATGCCACGGGTTGGACGCGTCGTTTTCTCGCAGAGTGCGTCTGTTACGGGAAGTATGCTTGGAGTCTCGGTTGTTTCGGGTGGCGATGGTTGCTTGGTGTTGATGTTTACGTGGCAGAAGGGTGTTGTGGAGGATTTGTTTATCTTAAATGTTATTGAGTCGATAAGGAAGGAGGTTTACGATCTCTGTGTGTGAAAGATTTGTTTTTACGTGGTTTCCTTTTTGTCTTTCCATTGTTTGCACTTTATAGTTTTGATCGAGCATATAGAACTGGTATTCATAGTAATAGATAATACACACCACTGTCCACCCATTTGTATTCAGTACAGCTTGATAGTTTAGCAATTCTGAGAGATATAGGTCGATCTTTAATGTACCTCTTTATAAAAGACCTTAAAGAAAGCGAAGCGCTCGCATGTGAGTCCAGTCGGCAAGATCCTGCTGGAAATGACTTGACCTTTCTGTGATATATCAACTGTTTCTTTCCTATAGCTAAGGTTGTTTGGGGTTGATATCTCAAGGTTATCTTTCCTCGGAACCGTCACCAGATCATGGATTGTGGCTATGAGAAAACATCAGAGAAACCACAGATCAGTTTCTCTGGTTCATGCCTATACAATAGTCTGTTAGATCACCTCGTTTTCCTGATCTGTAATTTGTAGATACGTGGCAGACGGAATTCAAGATATAGCCGATCTAGCCCTAGAACCCAATGGACACCCCTTGATTTCATTGGAGCTGCTCCTGTCATGGGGTCATGAGCTTCAGTGATAGATGGAATTTGGCTAGGTGGTCACGAAGGACCATCGCTCGCCTCTCACGGATATGGCCTGCTTACTTCAAAAGACTGTGACGATCTATCATTCCATAGCTCGATAAGATGTCTAGTTCAAAATTCTGACCAAAGATAGGGCATGTAATTGAGCCATCTATCGCTCTAATCGTTCTCGCAAACCTTACGTGAATTAATATAGATATTTACGACAGACCAACTCAATTGGGTAAATCTATAGGCAGGTAAGTTTGCCAATTCGAGATGATTCTTCATGGTTAATGGATTAAAGAGTAGCCAAAGCTTGCCTTTACTTTCCGTTCTGATAAACTTGAATGCTATACAATCTACTGCTGGTACGGAATTACTTTGTATTACCCCTCCGTAAAGGTAGAGCATGTTTTACATTACATTTTATACGTAAGCTAGCATTTACCGACTCTGTAAAACTAACCCAAGGTGGTGCAGTATCGATAAACAAGTAACATCAGCATTCTAACCGTTGAATTCAAAAAATTCCGGTATTTTAGCAAGACGATGTATGTACATACTAGCACCGAATAAGTCAATATTTCCCTCTCGTATATCCATTACAAAACTTTAGGGGGGCCTTCACTTTTACACCTGAAACATTTCCGTCCCAAAGCAGCATGTACTGGGTTGTGCAGTATTCAATAATTGCACAGAGTCATTGTTCAGCTCACACCCACTGAAGTAAATACAAAGTCAAGTTTGTGGTCTTTGTTGGGGCACAATCCATTATCATGCTAGGCGGTGAGAGCTTCGATAGGCAGAATCGCGGGGGATGTTTATCGCGTTATCGTCCTAGTTATCTAGCATTTCTTTCTTCTCCCTATTCTCCAATATTCCTTCTTTTGTGGACCACGTCTCTTCTTCTTCATATACACCCAGTTATTTCGTCAATATCTCGCCGCGACTATAGAAACACCAGCAAAAATGGCGACCCGGGCTCCTTTTGTCGTTCCTGCGCTCAAGAAACATACCGCAACCGTAATCATGGCTCATGGTCTGGGCGACAGGTTGGTGCCCATGCCTAAAAGGTAGTACCAATTAGCTAACAGCTTTCCCTTGGAACAGCGGTGCTGGATGGTATGTAGTAATCCCCCTCTCCAAGAAATTGAAGGATGCCAAATACAGGCACTAACCGCGTTCTCCTAATAGGATGGGCCTTGCTCAGAACTGGCGCCGTAGAGGCTTGTTCGAAGAAGTAACTTTTATTTTCCCCAATGCCCCCATGATTCCTATCACAGTGGTAAGTAAATTATGCTCTCGGGCGAGGGATAATGAGCTGATAAATGACTCGGCGCATTACAGAATTTTGGTATGTCAATGCCTGGATGGTACGACCTTTCCAAGCTCGGCCGTGATGTGAGTTGCCCTTGTTACTAGTTCATTCCTACTGTATTGGTTTCAATTAACGCCTTGGCAGCTGGATTTCGAAGAAGCCATCCGCAGCCAGGACGAACCAGGCATCCTCCGATCCCGCGAGTACTTCAACACCCTGATCAAGGAACAAATCGACCAGGGAATCAGTCCTTCGCGCATAGTTCTAGGTGGATTCTCCCAAGGAGGCGCGATGTCTGTGTTTACAGGTGTCACCAACAAGGAAAAACTGGGAGGCGTATTCGGACTTTCATGCTACTTGCTTCTGAGCGATCGCATCAAGAACCAGATTCCCGAAGACTGGCCCAACAAGAAGACACCATTCTTCCTTGCTCATGGGACCGATGATGATATTGTGAAGTATGAGTTTGGAAAGACCTCATCGAAGTTGCTTCAAGAACTCGGATTGGAGAATGTTCAGTTCAACTCTTACCCGTGAGTATTTTCATCTCTGCACGGGATGACTGTGTTACTGATTCGACATTAGTGATCTTGGCCATTCTGCCGATCCCCAGGAAATCGAAGATCTGGAAAAGTTCCTTCAGCAGGTCATCCCTGCTGAAGGTGACGGTCAGGCTTCCGCCGGGCTATGACTCAATGGTCCCTCCCGGATTTCGATCTGGGAGAAGATGACATCTAGCATTGTCTTGGGTATGGTATGCTTATTGATTGCAATATTGTTCTCGAGATACAATTTCCGGGATAGAAGCGACGGTTCAAAGAGATAGCGTTGAGCATCAGAATCCTGTTTGATACATATGTTTTTATTCATCTATTGTCTAAAAGGCCCAGACGCATTGCACATGATTCCCTGTTCGTATCGTTTTCGCATCTCGAATAAAGCAAAGCGGGTTTCTTGAGTTCTACCCTGTCCTCGCACGCTTAATAGTCTTTTCGATAGCAGCAATCATAGCCTCTGTATTCTTGCCATCGAAGGGAATTAAATGCCTCGATCCGTGGTCGTAAAATTCCGCCTTCGAAGGTTCACACAGACCATACAATTGCATACTGAGGTCGTAAATCTCATCCTGCTTACCGACTATATGGGTTGTAGGAATCTTGACCAGATACTCCCCTGGCGTCGGCTGAATAGTCTCCTTTCCAGATGCCTCGTACGGCGCCGCACCGCAGATAAAGACAGCGGCTTTGAACAGCGGCACGTCATGTGTTTTTGCATGGTCGATAATCATAGAACATGCGAGAGCGGCGCCTTGTGAGAACCCCATTACAGCGTCGAATGGCCCCTTTGTCTTAATGATATTCATGGTGTACTCGATGGCACGAGCGAGGTCTTCGCCGGGTGCGATATCGCGGGGGTAGTGCTTGTAGAATGGGGGATCCAAGATGCCCTTCAGTTCTAAACCCAGGTAAGGCGATGTTATAGAGAGAGAGAGAGAGAGAGAAAACTCGTACCTGGTTCAGGTTCAGAGTCCAACCGGCCGTCGATATATGTGAAGCGATGCCCTTTGGTTTCCAGAGCCTGGCTTATGCCGCCTGTTTGTGGTTAGAACTGACGATTTGTGGGACGAAATGTCATGGTCATCTGTGGATTCCTCTCCAGGGCCACTAGATGTTGATTGAATTACCAGACTGGATTTCAAAAATCTGCCTGTCAATCAGTATCTTCATGTGGTTGAGAGACGGAAAGTAGTCATTGTTCCACATACCTCCCCGCTCGTGCCAGAGCCATGTAAACACAGGAATCGCATCTTGATTATATGAAGGTATATGGTGATTTATCTTGAGCAGTCCCAAGAACAATCCGCAATCGAACTTTAGATGTAGGTTAAATTGAACTCAAACTATGGAATGTTGAAATGGCTAAATATGTTCTGACTCTTACTCTTAGAAGGTTCATGCTGACGGTGCAGATTACCCGAATTTAAAACAGAACACGGGATTTAATTACCTAGTCGCTTACCTTGCATTTCACTAGCTTCTCGATCGCTCACCACTACAACAATCTACGTGAGAAAAGTGGATTCGTCATACATGGAGTATATTCATCCTTTTCGGTTCTCTTTTCATCGAAACACGTCTTAAATCGATCGATTACCCATTATGGATGAATTGCAATCATATACCCCCTTGCGTCGTCTACTAAGTGGAGAAGTTAAATTTAGATCGAGAGTTAATCTAGGAACCTCGGTCGTTGGACAAGGACGGATCATGGCAATCAACGCCCACATTTCACGGCATCTCTACCCTCCAGCACAAAAAGGATCCGTCTAGTTTTATATACCCCGAAGGCGTCAACTAACTGCACAGCTCCTCTTTGACTAGTGTACAGTACACTACGTTCGACATGTCTCTCTATCAAAACATCGCTCTCAATTGCTCTTTTGCCTTGCATGGCCTACGCCATCCATTGGATATGTACTCAAGTCTTGGTCCTACGCTGAGTGAAGCTACCTTTGGCCTGTTGGGATCCTCCTTTGAGCCGAGCAGAGATATTGGCGACCTCTCTGGGAAGGTCCTTTTTGTCACAGGAGGTAAATTCTGACTGAGTTTCGAGTCCCTACCGACCTCTTTCCAGCCATAGCATACTAACGTATAACGGATTTTTTCTAGGGAATGCCGGTCTTGGAAAAGAAACCGTCCTTCAGCTTGCGCAACATAACCCGTCGCGCATATACCTAGCCGCTCGGGATGCTACTAAAGCTCGTGAAGCCATCAGCTCGATTAAAGACACCACTTCAGCCTCCGTTGACATTAGACATATTGATCTTGACTTGTCTTCTTTCCAGTCTATACGCGATGCTGCAGAGAAGTTTTGCTCGGAGTGTGATCGTTTGGATATCTTGATCCTCAACGCTGGCACCATGGCAAATCCGCCAGAGCTTACAAAGGAAGGCTTTGAAATTCAATTTGGAACAAACCATATTGGCCATTTCCTGCTTACCAAACTCCTCCTCCCTACGCTAGAAAAAACTGTTGGAAGCTCCGCATCAGATGTGAGAATCGTGACGTTGAGTTCCGTGGGGAGCCATGCGGCTCCATCCTTTGATGTCATGACCTCAACGTCTGCTCTCCTGGCCGCCCACACGCTCGTTCGCTATAGCGCGTCTAAAGCTGCTAACATCCTTTTCGCGTCGGAGCTTGCCCGCCGATACCCAGAAATTCTCTCGGTTTCTGTTCATCCGGGTGTAGTGTCCAGCGAACTATACCGCCATACCGGCGCGATGAATGCCGTCTCAAGATTCGGGCTTGATTTACTTTCTACCGTGTTTCGTAGTGTACGCACAGGGGCGATGAACCAGCTCTGGGCTGCCGGGGCGAAGAGAGAGCAATTGGTCAATGGCGCTTACTACGTTCCAATCGGGGTACGCGGCTCGAGCAGATTCGCCGATGATGCAGACATGGCACGAAAGCTTTGGGAATGGACAGAGAACCAGATCGCTAAGAAATCGTGATCCTCTCCTTTGCCTCGTGCTGCCTTGCAATATGATACACACCATCTGGTTGATATATAAGTCTAATCTTAATCGTTTTCTACTTGGACTATTTCAGAACTTTCGCAAGTTTTGACTAACCTGGAGGTAGTATACCTGATATTCTTATTGTTATTTTTTTGGGGGGTGCTAAATGGTTGGCTAATCAGTGTCATTTGACTTGTATCCCATTTATTTTTATTTTTCTCTTTTCCTTACAAAAAAAATTTTTGCCTTGGAAGGTTCAGGGTATGAATTGCTCTGACCGTACTTAGTAAAGTATGGAAAGCGATTGGGTAGCCGGCTAGACTACCTACTAGCAAGACGGCTAAAGCGGTATGAGATTGAGTGTATCCTAACTGACAGGATAGCTCTGTCGCCAAAACCACAAAGAATGGCGGAGAGCTGGTCTTTCCGGAGTTCTTCGCCTTCAACCATGCACAACTTATTGACATGCATGATTACGGATCCATGATCGTTAGGGTTTAGCCGAGCAGCTGCCAAACCTCCAAAGCCAATTCGAGCCCACAATCAATATCCGGACCACCAGCAAACCGATTACTACGTAGTAGAGAGACGAACTCAGGTAGAAGGGAAGCACGTATGAAGGTGAAACAATCTAGCGTAAAGAGGAAATACCTTCCCGCGTAGAGGAAATAGTCAGACTGTAGCTTTGAGGAGAAAAAAGAGGGAGAAGGTCGAGTAGGTAACAAGCCACAGTCAGCGTTACCGTTTACCCCCCACACAAACCAACCAACTTTCACCTCATCATCTCATCAGCCACACTACTACTACGTTCTCACTCAATCACGGTGACTCTCACAACCCATTCACTAACCAACTATCTTCCCCTACTCTTGGTACGTGGAATCATTTTCTCCCCTTTGTACTCTCTGCAACCTTTTCATCCCGTCATTCGTCTCCCCTAACCGGTGTGTATTGTCGCTCTTCAATTTAACCCCCGCTCATCCTCTCTCTTGAAATCCCCGGGGGAAAGCATCAGCCACCGCTTTCTTGGCAGCCACACATTCTGCCACAAAGCCTTACCGAGTCCGAGTTTCCACAGATCCAGATTATTGACGTCCATTCATCCCACTAGGTTCAAGGAACATCTTCTCAACGCACAATCATCATCATGGATCAGGCAAAGTTGGCTCGCATGCAGGCTAGCGTGCGGATTGGTACGTGTCCATCTGATATTTTTCTTTCCCTCCATTTCCCCCCAATCCTTTCTGGAAATAAGTGGTCCTGGGATTTAGTGGCATTGGCAGCGAGAGGAACTGGTCGCTTAAGCCGGAGGAAATGCGATACCCGACACGGACGAGTCTGCAAATCGCCAAAGCTCCAAGGACCAGACGCCACTCACAACATGAAATCCTGGGAAGCTTCGGAAATGGGAATTACTTTTGAATTTTTTGGATAATGTGACGTGATATGTTAGCTAACCTATATCATCCTGTTGAACAGGGTACGTATAAATTCTCTTTTCTTTTCGCACAGTCTCTCCCTCGGGTACCGCATTCGACCACGAAAATGGGAAATTAACCCACACATTCCCAATGCCCTATCTCGCCCTTCTCTTCTCAATGCCAGATCTACTCCCAATTCCTACAAATCCGACCATGAATCCACCCGACTGACGAAATATCCTAATAACAGAGGCAAGGGCACTCCCCGCCGCAAGGTCAAGAAGGTCCACAAGTCCTCCGGCGCCGACGACAAGAAGCTCCAGGCTACCCTGAAGAAGATGAACGTCCAGCCCATCCAGGCCATCGAGGAGGTCAACATGTTCAAGGAGGACGGAAACGTCATCCACTTCGGTGCTCCCAAGGGTATATATAACCAACCCCCGCGCTTATAAATCCATCCGGCACCCGCCGGTTGGAAACGCCGCAATCTAACCAAAAGAAAAACAAATTACTTACTTATCTTACTCTCTATAAAGTCCACGCCTCCGTCCCCTCCAACACCTTCGCTCTCTACGGTAACGGCGAAGAGAAGGAACTCACCGAGCTCGTCCCCGGTATCCTGAACCAGCTTGGCCCCGACAGCCTCGCCTCCCTCCGCAAGCTCGCCGAGAGCTACCAGAACATGCAGAAGAACCAGGCCGGCGCTGAAGGCAAGAAGGATGAGGATGAGGATGATATCCCTGATCTGGTTGAGGGCGAGAACTTCGAGAGCAATGTCGAGTAAATTCATTAACCATATCATATCATATCATGGGTTTTAATTGATTGATATAAAAAATGTGAACAAAGACATTAAAAAAGGGTTGTCTTAATCTTTTTTTCTTCTCTTCTCTTTTCTTTCTTCAACTTAACTCTCACGCTTTTCGCTTTTCGCTTAATGCTTTCTTGTTATTCATGAGGACTTTACTATTCCGGTTCCTTTTGGTTCTTTGGCACTGGGCTCTAGGGATGGGATTCAGGGGTTATTGTGTTATTGGGTTTGATGATTGCGAAATGGTGCAATGGGTGAAGATGATGGGAGGGATCTTGTCTACAGAGTTCAATGAGAACGTGCTACGACTAGTTCTGCTTCTTAAGGGTAATCGTAGAAGTACTTTTTTCCTGAAAATGGGAGGTAATAAGGAGCATGTCGCAATGCGACGATCGACATTTATAAGTGCTTAGACACTGTAATACTACAAAAAGCCGTAGACAGGTACCATGCGACCAGTTTATTAATTCCTTTCGCCTTCCATGCAAAATCAATCAAGATCCCGACCAGTAAATGCCATAAATCATAGAGTATACGAAAACTGCCAACTTGGCTAACGTCAACTTGCGCCAACGGTCGTCGGCGGGGTACTATCGTACATGCAAGGGTATTGGTATTGTTTAGGCCAGTCATCGTAAACAAGGACCGTTTAGTGGAGACGTTTGTTCACAGGCGGGAGTGACTCCGGGCCCGAAGCTGGGCTTGCATTGACTGACGCTGCAGAGCTTCGCATCGCCGGTGCTAAGTTCAGGTGTTGTTGGTAAGAAGTGGTAGAGGAATGGGAGCAAGAATCGAGAGAGATCATGATTCCTCCCGCAATCCGCAAATATCAGTTCCAAGGACCATATCGATCATATACCAGAAACGCCAGTAGGTGTTCGACTTATCATAGTCGAAGGTCCCATCGTCCTTGAGCTGCGGCCCGTCTCCCACGATGTCACCAGTGAACCAACTGAGGATCGGAATAGATCGCAGAACGCGCTCAGTGACGGTCGGCTGGGGCGGGAGAGCCTCAGCGATCGGGCGTAATTTTGCCCGACGCACAGTCGGAATATGTGTCATGAATTCAGACTCGGGCTTCGGCTCTTGGGGAACATTACGTTGTTGAAGGGAAGACGTAGATGGTTGATCCACACCGGTGGCAGTCATCGAGCTTGCAGTCGGCGTCGATTCTAGTGATTGGCCTTCATCTACATCCGGGACACTAGAAAGGTTATTCACAGTGAATGACCGCGGTAACGTTGAGCGTTCGTTCGTCTGGAGGAACGTGGTAGAGCGCGAAGTGGTCAAAGTGCGCGTGGCTTTCGATTTTTGCTGCTCGGCGGCCGATGAATCTGCAAGGATTGGTACATCCTCTGCGGGTCCTTGGCCATGATACAGTTCACAGAAAACAAGGTGTCCATCGATCTCTTGGGGAGAGTAGAAGCAAGCCCGGTCCGCAGCGATCGTCGAATCGAACGTGACCTTGATCCAGTGAAAACCACCTGCATAACGCTTCGATTTGCGGTTCGCATCCGCAGATAGATTCGAATGGATTACGACATCACCGCCGCTCAGAAGCTGCGAATACCCACTCATAGAATTAGGATCGCTGCGCGGGTAATCTTCACAGATCACGCCTCTGGACACCCGCTCATACTTGTCGATCACCTTCCACTCAGTGTCTTTACTCTTGTAACCGTACAGTATGCATTCTGTGGCGACCTTTTCCGTCTGCTTTCGTGCATTGTCGAGGTTTGAGGCAGATGTCGACTTCGGTAAGGTATTGCTGCGAGTCTTCTCCTCCTCTTGCTGCATCGCGAAAAGCCGTCCGAATTCCGCAACATTTGGGTTTTCCTTCTTTGCAGGTGTTCCCGTACGAGTACGCGATCGAGCATGGTCGTAGCGAGCGTTTCTCCTCTTTCCAAAAGGGCCACTCTCTTCCGGTGGTCGTCGAGGGTTCCGGGATTCACTACACAGTGTAATTGGACATATTAGTCAACGACATCGATGAGCGGTAAGTAGAAAGGGGCAAGATGGAATATTATACTCACTCTTTGTAGACATAGCCCCAGGGCAGAAGATTGCCCTTGTCATCTTTTGCGCGCTCCTCTGGAGGAACAAAATGGTACTCCATATTATAAGGGGTTCTAGTTCTTATTGATTAAAGCAAGAATTGAAGGCAGTCAGCGGAGCTAGAGCGACGTAAAGTGTATTTAACGAGCTAGGGTGAAAAATGAAGCTTGCTGTCAAAACCTCGATGAGGGAAGCAGCCGATCTTCCCAAAAGTTTTGGGGCTTGCGGTAAACACTTCTTCTGTTAGCCCGGAGACGGTCACGTGGGGACCATCTATCATTCCATCTTCTTGCCCTTCAACATATTGACATTTTGAACAGCCAATTACAAATTACATCTTTAATTTGTTTTTATTTATTCATATGTGTATGTATATATATATTAATTTTTGATTTCCCTCTTATAGCGCCACCAAGTAACTTATATCAATTGAATATTCACTTTCCTGTAGCCGAAAAGGAAAAGCTTCGAAGTCTCGACATTTAACACCATTTATTCCGCAAAAGCCCGTATTCCGCCTGTACATAGTATCTCTGGCAGATAATGTTCTAGTCCTGTCGTAAGAATGTTATATACCCGACATCGTTTTCTAGGCCGCACACTTCTCCAAAATCTCCCACTTCCAATCTTCGTCCGTCTACATGATTAACAAACTCCTTCAACGGACACGACAACCCAGGTCCAGATTTGCAGTATGGCAGTGGGACAATCTGGTCGTTCATGCTAACCCGAAGAAAGGCCTCTTCACCACTGGGGTTTTTCGTCAATGAGGTTTGACAAGTCAACCGCTCAAAAGCGATCCTTCCGCCCATTGGTATGACGGACGAGGTACGCCAGACGCGGTCTGCCACCCTATGTGTGGTCGGCAGGAATGGGTCATACTTCGGATCCTTCATTATATCTAGTGCTGTGAGGAAAGGGGCGATATCTCCATCATGAACGCTAAACCAGGGTGTCAGTACTCTTCTCAATCATTTGACCCTTGGGAATCACAATGTCACCCACAAACTGAAGAACATAGTACCAGCTTCCGGCCCAGATCGTAAAAGAGCAGTCGTAGCATTGAGCCAGAGCCAACCCATTGCCCCAGCATACGGGTTGCCTGGACCAGCACGGTAGTAGTGGATCAAGTCACGGGCGTATTCGAAATTCTCCCAATCATCATGAGTAAATATATCGCACCAAGGACTTGACCCGCGAGCGATCGTCTCAAATCCACACATCTCTTGCATACTGTAGACCTCTAGATTAGTCAAGTATCCAAGTGCCGAATTTTGCTCATCGTTTATTAGTCGCTCGGCAATAGGTGGGATGTACACGTCCTGGAAAAGCGCAAGCATATTGACACCGTTGTCATGGCCTTTCACAGGATCTTCGATGTATTTTAGGCATGTATCGCCCGGAGTCAGAGTATCAGCACCTCGCTCGAGTGTCTCGGGAATGATCTCCAACGTAGCCTTTTCATTTTTTTCCCAATCCAGGCCGAAGAATCCAGACGCGAAATGCTGAGCTGTTTCAATCACGCGGTCACATTCGCTTGCCCACAGTCTTGTTGTCCCATGGCGCGGTAGCAAATGTCCGTATCGCGTTAAGAAGCGGACGCCTGTTGAGAAAGCCTGAAGTGTGCCAGCATACGGACTAGTTCTGGTCAGCTGGTTAAAGTCTTTCTGTGGCTCATCGGTAAAATATGTCCAATTGTTCAAGAACGAGAGTGAGCCATTAAGAACTACGTTTGTTTCCTTGATTCGATTTAGAAGTGCGAGATGACCTTGGAATAGGTGTTAGAAACAATAGGCTCTATCAGAATACCATTAATGGTGGCAGAGTGGGACATACGACTCCCAGCAGATTTGGTCGGATATCTTTCTCCGTGACGAGACATCTGTTAGCTATTAGTATTTATTTCCGAACCAACCCAAATGATGGTTTAAGTTCAAATTGAAGAATCCCATTTAGAGGACTATGAGGTATGCAAGACAACCGTACCATATGCACTTGATCAATGACGCACCCCTTTGGGGGTTGAAGGCCCGGCGTTTCAAGCCCGTCAACCTTCTCTATCCATGGTCCATTACCGCCTAGGTGGTAAAGGATGTTCCAATCATTGACTTGATATCCGGTCTGGCCTGATCGGAGTGGGTTGTACCAGGCGTTCCAGCTTGCGCAATGAGGTGATCTAATCTCGGAACCAAATGGGTCGCGGTTATAATAGGAAACACTGACGATTGCAGTCAATAGGGAAAGGATCAATGCCCATGGTGGTGTTATGTTCAGCATCTTTTTATTGTGGGGTTGACATGCGATAGATCACCAAGCGATCGAAGGTGGACACTGCGTTGTTAGCAAGTGGTATGCAGGGATCAACTGAGTTGCCGAGACACCTTATTTTAAAATCAACAACCCAGTGAAACAATTGAGTGACACCCTCTCCACTCAGGGCACTTGAATCCACGATTCCTTTCCATTTTATTCTCTAATAATCGACTTTGAATGTATGGCGTGCTATTTCAGATTCTATTCTTATATTTTCTTTTACCGTGTTACCGTTTCAATGTAGATCCATCGACAACCCAAAATATATACACAAGATATGAGTATTTCCTTTGCTGGAAAACATCTGATCGCTGTCTATCTTTAATTCCACAGGAGTAGCTCTATGTACTATACATTCACGTGCTATAAATAAATCGAGGACTTTTATCTCCCAGTTCCTCAATCTCCTCGTCGGTCATCCCAGCAACCTTCTCGTCCTCGAAGCCTTGGACTCTGCGAATGTTCTTTTGGCGGTAGTAGAACCACATGAGACCATACACTATTCCTGCGAACCCCACAAGGCCTAACGTTACGGCATTTCCCCGGACATACCGAGGCGCTTCGTTGTTTTTGTACAAGAACGGTGACATGACACCGCTGATGTTGCCAAACGTGAGTTGTAAACCTGTAGCGAAGGTACGTTTGCCATAGCGAGGAAGCGTAGTAGGAAGCCATGCGAGTGGCAGTCCAACCGCCACATATAGCCCTAGGGCGATGAGTAATGCGCCGAAGTAATGCACCCCCGAGGATGTATCAGAAATCAGGATTCCGTAGCCGACGACAGAAATTGCGCAGAAAATGCAAATGAACAGACCGCGGCGCTGAGTTCGGTCGCTGACCCAAGCGATCACCAAATAGGCCAAGGCCCCAAGCGCATAGCATGGGATTGTTAGTGCCTGCACTTCAGGTGTCGACCATGAGCCCATGCCCTTGATGATGGTGG